CATCCTGGATGGTCAGGCCTCACGGCTTGCCCACTTTCTAACTGGGGTCAATATGGGATGGGTTTGAAGAGAAAGCAAGCCCAGTCTTGAGCTTGGCTCCTTTGACAGGGCAGTGATGTGGTTGGGGATTCTGGGCCCCTCTCTGGACCCTTGGGCTCCGGCTGCTTGAGCCCTGCCTCATGGGGCTCTTCTCCTCCTAGGGGGCCGTGTGAAGACCTGGAAACGGCGCTGGTTCATCCTCACAGATAACTGCCTCTACTACTTTGAGTACACTACGGTGAGTGTGGCTGCACATCCTCTCTCTCCAAAGACCTGAGAACCAGTCTGTCAGGCCTTGCCTCACACATCTCTCTTCTAGGACAAGGAGCCCAGGGGGATCATCCCGCTGGAGAACCTCAGCATCAGGGAGGTGGAGGACCCTCGGAAACCGGTACGAGATTTCCCTGCGCCTGTCTTTCCTCTCTAGATCTTTGCAGCCTCCTTTCCTGCCCTGCCCCTGTAATGGCTCTCTTCTCTCTACCAGAACTGCTTTGAGCTCTACAACCCCAGTCATAAAGGGCAGGTCATCAAAGCGTGCAAGACAGAGGCAGATGGCCGTGTAGTGGAGGGGAACCATGTTGTGTACCGGATCTCTGCACCCAGCCCTGAAGAGAAGGAAGAGTGGATGAAGTCCATCAAGTGAGTAGGACAGCCAGGCCCACGGGGAGCATGTTAGATCCTTGTACTGTCAGAAAGGCTCCTCCAGACCCATCCCTGCTGCTTGTTTGGTGCTGTGGGGTGGGGGGAATGGGCATCTAAACCTGCAGTCACAACCCACTTGTCTTCCTTTCTCCCCAGAGCGAGCATCAGTAGGGACCCATTCTATGACATGTTGGCCACGAGGAAAAGGAGGATTGCCAATAAGAAGTAGATGACGCCAAGACCCAGACTCCACAGCAGACGCACAGGCTACTCACAAGCAGCAAGACAAGGGGGCATTGTGGTGCCCATGGGTCCTCCAGAGCAGCCAGTCAAGGCTCAAGCCCCCAGAGCCTTGTGCTGTCCTCTGGGATGTTGGTCAGCTGTGTTTCCTTCCTGCCACTGCCCTGGCATTGACCTTTGGGGACCCTTGTCCACACAGCACCTGGTGACCCAGCCTCAGGACCTGCACAGCCCACACAGGACTCCTTTTCTGTAGCCAGAGCCTCAGCCACACCATGCCACACCTGCTCTTTTGGGCAGCACTAGCTGTTCTAGAAGTCGCTGTTTTATATCAAAATGGGAAAGGAAAACCTACCACTTTTTTTATTCAGAATTTTTCTCAGATATATAGGATTATAGCTTTTATATGCCTTTTATATTCTGAAAATTATAATGAAAGATGCTTAATTTCTAACAGTAGTATTTTTAGAATGGCAGCTATAAACTTAACTCCTGGACACAAGTATATACTGTGCACTGAACACAGTCTATATATGCAGCCTCCAGCCACTTGAGTGGGAGCAGCTGGGGGCCTGATGTGTCAGGTGGGGCACAGGCAGCCACTCTGGGTGACAAGGCCCTGGGGTAACCGTGAGGACCAGTACTCCAGGTGTGTCTAACTGCCACTTCCCTTCATGTGCTTCTCTGAGACGAATCACTAAAATATGGTTATGGCTCAGGATGTTTATCCTGTCAGTGTTGAGGCTTGGCAGATAAGAGACAGGCTGTTTACGTGTCTGACCATCACACACGACAGTTCCACGTGGTCCGTCTGCACACCATGTTGGCTTGGGTACTTTTGTTGCTTGCGGTTTCAAACTTTTGGTTAAGTGCTCACTGACATAGTAACTAGATCCAATATTTTGATGTAGTGTCTAGGCATAAGCAGCCAGAAGTAGCCCACCTAGCCTCTGGTAGTGCCAGGTCTCCCGCATTTGGCATCCCTTTTAAGGAGGGAAAAGCTGAAGATGGCACTTAGGGAAGCCAGTGGCTCACAGAACCCTGTATATACCAGGGTGATTTCAGGGCACTGTGTGCTTGGGCTGAGGCTGGGTAAAGTGGTTGGACCTCTTCTGTTGCACTTCTGGGGAGGTTCATTCATAATTTGGGGGACCCTTTTGAGGCTGCGTGTGGCTTGTTCGGAAAATGGCCTTCCACGCCAAACTGCTTCCCTGGACTGTCTGTGCAGACAGGCCTGGAGCTTGCATCCCGACAGTCCTTGAAAACCTTCAACCAACTGCACTCAGACATGACTTTCTGTGATAAGATTTTTGTGGGGTGGTGGTGGTGGTGGCGGTGGCGAAGGCCGAAATTCCCTCATGTACCAGACTGATCACCTTTTAGTTTATTCCCAAGCTTCTAGGCTTTTACTTTTATTAATACCTCAGATTTGAAACCTTTGAGCTGCCTGGCTGGTGTGTATGTAGCCTGGCTTCCAGTCTTCCGTGATCCCTACTCCTAAGCCTTCACCTCACACCAGAACCTGCTGCTGGTTGGGCACCTTGTGTGTATGGATATGAGTGGGGACTCACGTCCCTTCCATCAAGACTCTGGTGAATCTGCCTTCTCATGTCCAACCCAGGTCCCAGGTATGGTCCTGGAGATACAGAGCTGTTGGATGTTGAGGATGTTAAGCATGAGGCCACCTGATGGTGTCTTTAAATGCCATAGTCATCTTTGAGGGGACTTTGCCTGATGGCTGCTGGTGCTAAGAATCCTAAGTTACTGACTCTCAGAGTATCCACATGGAGTCACCTAACTCAGGTTATGTTGTGACAGTGTTAACCCCAAGGGCATCTGGCTACTTCCAAGGCTTGTAGAGGCTCAGTCATACTCATGCCCTTTGTCTGCACTCATTGAAGCATTAAGCCCGACTCTGGCCAAAGACCATTTCCTGTCCTGCTGGGCCCTCGTCATTTTCAGGTGTAGGTGGACTGGCCCTGGAGGTGTCAGAACACTTGAGTGATGTGGTCCCAGTCTACCCAGGAGCTGTTGAGAAGGAGCAACCTTCTGTGCTTCATGTCACACTGGTTTCCAGAGCTACAGCTGTGTTTTGCTGACAAGTTCGGTCTGTTACAGACCAGAAACCACAGTGATTTCTTTCTTTTTATCTTAGAAAACATTTCTATTTACAATAAATAGTTACTATGTAAATAATGTACATATGTATTAATTTCTGCAGTGTTTGTTATACAATGTACATACTCCTACAACCTGCATGAAGAAATATCCTATTAATGTTGATATCAGAATTTCTGGCTATTTTATTGCAAAACAAATAGCTAGTAAATTGGAGGGCTTACAGCTGTCAAGAACTATTGCAAATACTGTGTTCCCAAATAAAAACATACTAAGACACAACTGCCTCAGAATCAATTCTTCGTAACAGACGTGGTTGTGAGCTCATGGAGAACAGAGTAAAACTGAGACAGAGTCGTTTAATTTGCTGCCATTTATATACTATATAAATCTTACATGCCATATATACAGTGGGGCAAGTGCTTTTTTTAATCTTAAAAAAACAAAGATCAACTTTAGACATCTCTGAACAACACAAACTGTATAAACCATACAGATTATTCAGATACACACTGTATTAAATACAGTCTTTCCCCACTCCCGTCTCCTGATGCAGGACCAGTGAATTATAAGTGTATCACAGTTTGATAGCATATCCATATTAAAAATAAAATCACAGTATGATTTTTGTCTGTAACTAGAAACTTGAAGGGATCAAGCTGACGACTCAGACTCCAATATCATATTGTCGAGACGAGACACAGTATAAAAAGTGTTAAGGTAATAAAAACATACTGTAGGCTTTACAAATAATGTCTGGATTATACATTCATAATGCAAATACTCATCATAACTGGTAAATTGATTGGAATAGTTCCACAAAGTTCAAAAACAGAACTTGTCTATAAAATACATCTTCAAATCTTGAATACAACTAAAATGTGAAGCAAATTAGTTTCTAGTATCAGACATTGCAGAGGAAGCCCTCGAAGGTCTGGATGAGAGCTTGGGTCTTTAAATAAGTCTTTAAATTAAATAGACGCACTGTCTTTTTGTCCTTTTGAAGTTCATGGTTCCCAGTTGGCCGTGCACCAGATGTCTAGCTTGGAGGAACATTACATGAAATACAAGTAGTCAACCTGAGTCTGTAGTTAAGCAGCATCTGAGATGGTCTATTCCAGGGCATTATTTTCAGTGTGGTTTTTATGTACACGGTAATTTACAATATTCAGCAGTGTACAAAGAATCCATTTGGAATAAGGGTAATTAAGAAAAGGTAAAAACTGAAAGAAAAAAAAAAAGTTGTCCATGGTAAAGTCTGTACAGTATTTACTAAAGAAGCACCACGCAGTTTGGACAAAGTTATTTTCTATGTGTATAATTTAAGCTGGGTTGGGGATGGCTTCTGTTGAAGATGTTGAATCTGAAAGAAAAAAGGTACAGAAATTAGCTGAATGGAGGCTGGTCTCATGTGCTCTGGGTGTGCTCCCATTAAATGAGTTCTCTACCCTGTGAGGCCAGGGAGGCGCCATCTGCTGGGCCCCTCAGACCTCAGATTCCACTTTCACAGAGCCGGAGAGGCTCAAAGCCTTTGTCTTCTTGACACTGACAAAGCCCGTTAATTAGCTGCAAACTGAGCTTCTGTAGCAGCTCATTTTAAAGCCCTCTTTGCAGACTGGACAGGACAGACTCCTTTTTGCTTCACCAAGTGTGGGCTAGAGTTCCTGTCTCTCAGGGCCATACAATAAAACACCAGCAATTAGGACCCAGGCTATGGCCCTGACCTGTGTGATTCCTCTCTGCTCTCAGACACTTAACCCCATTGTCTGGATACGAGTTGAGTGTCACAGATACAGACCCCCAGGACTTCAATCAATCTTTTCTTCAGAGGGAAACCCACCTATATCCACTCAGAACTTTTACAAATGACCAAAACACAGACAAGAAAATTGCTTACCGTAATCTTTTTTTTTTTTTTTTTTTTGTTATGAGGCTGGGGCGTTAATCACCTGGAAGGCAAAGTGAGGAAACAATTTAATATGTGTGTACCTGAAGACTTGATTATAATCAGTCCTGCAGTTTGATGTCAGCTGCAGGAAAAGTCACTCTTACAGGATGAGCAAGCAGACACTAGCTTGGCAGTGCTACAAAGAACTCCAACAGAGGATGCTCAAGAGCCACGCCTGAGGACCAGGTCTCTGCCCCAGCATACAGCTGCACATTCTTATTCTTTCGTGAGGATGAACAGATTTCAGCTCAGAGAGCTGGAGGAAGAACTGGAGTTTACGAGAAAGGGTCAGTGGTGGGAAGAAGGGAAGTGTGAGTGCCGAGTAGCTGCAAACAAGTCACCAGTTTGAGACAACCTGATACAGTGTATGTGTGGACTGCCAAAGAGCAAAAGGTTCCACTCAGGGCCACCAACACATCTGTAGCAACACACATGCCTTTTATTCATGACCATGATCTTTGGGTGTCGGGCAGAAATGACAAGCTTTTTATATCAAGGGCCAGATGATGAAAATCATTTCAATGGAACAGGCCATGACTTACCTCTACTAAGTGGTTCAAAACAGTACAACACAAAACACATGGACTTCAGCCAAAGTCTACTGAACCAAAACCTGATTCCACACAGTGCTTCACTTGAACAAATACTACTACTCAGTACTTGTGAGAGTCATTCTGAATTGCAGGTTAGCTGTAGCCACAGGGCTACAGTTTTCCAGCCTCTGCTCTGGCCCCACTGACATTCATATCCCATACGTTTTTTTACTAGACAAATGCTATCTAAAGAAAAAGCTCATTAAAAATGGTAGGAAGAGAAGGGGGCATCCACGCACACTGGCACTCAGGTCGGGGAGGTGGAACTCACCCTGAACTACTCAAGAAGGATCCAGCGAGAATCACCTCAGAGAACAGCAGCCTGGAGGGTGCCAGAGCCCCACAAGAAAGACATGTCTCTAGAGACCACACTGAGTTATGACTTAGCAACTGGAGTACACTAGGGCCTTCAAGGGTTCAAAAGTTAACACAATACACACAGATGTACAAGTAGGCGCACACAAACATACACAAGCATAGAATACTTTAAAAGCCAAAGCTCTACTGTATGACACATACAGACGCTCTAAGTTCCAGGAGTATGAGCACACAGGTTACACTGGGCCCAGCTCCATGCAACTCAGGCCTTCAACAGAGGTGACAGCCAGCCAGAGGTTACACCACACCTCTGTTCATAGGGAGGATCTTGTTGTGGGGCACCTTGAGTCAACTCTCATAACATTCTGTGCCCCCCTTACATTTCTGTGTTCATTACCTTTCCCAAACACGTTACTCAAAGAGCTGTGTCCTTAATTCCCAGTCTTCTTACCCTGGCCATACTCTGACAGATGACATCTGTCAGGCCGGCTTTCCATCCTTAAATGCTTAGATTTCTCCCGGAAAGAGCCACTGTCTTCCAGAGGCAGGCCATCAGCCAGCAGGAAGGTGCCCTCCGTTCTCCGGAAATGGCCGACAGCCTCATAGCTCAAGGGCTTCGGTAAATGCATCTCAACATCTTTCATAAAGTCCTCCGACTTCCTCGAATGTCTTTTCTTTTTCTTCTTCTTCTTCCGATGTCTATGGAGGTCAGCATCGGAGTATGCTCCCGAAAAATCGGATTCTTGCTGATGCCTGCAGAAGAAGCAGCCAGAGTTCAGCCCCAGGGAAAAACTGCAATCCTGGCTCCCCATCCCCTGGGACACTAGCTATGTATCTGTGGGGGCAAATTTCTCCTGCCAACATGTTGTTTCTTCCCGTGGAAACACAAAACTTAAAAAAGTTTTAAGCCCAAGGTCTTCAAATATAACACCATGGTCCTCAGCATGGCTTTGCCTTAGCCATGTGTCCAGGCCCAGGACAGAAGGCAACTGTGACCTGCTGCCTGTTTACAAATGGCTATGGCAATCTTCCCCCAGTTTTCATGTTAAGTGATATCAGCTAAAAGATAGAAAACTTCACTCATGCTCATGAATCAGACAAATTAAAACAGTTGCCAACAGTTACTGCTCCTAAGTGACACAAACCAATCACATGCATGACATACACAGCCTATAAAATACCAGCATTGGGGACACTGAGGCAGAAGGATCTAAGTTTGAGGTCAGCTAGGACCTCAATAAATAAATAAATAAATAAATAAATAAATAAATTTAGAATTAAAGTGAGAAATGGTGGCCTAAATAGGAGACAAACGTCAAAGAAATAAATGGTGTGTCCTAAGCTCACTCCAATCAGGCAGAGAAGAAAATACAACAGATACAAAAATATCATGACGTATGTCAGGCCTGGGAGAGTTGTTAGAGTCCAATAATTTAAAAAGCTTTGTGAAACTTTAGATATGTAAAGCAACCAAACCTCAGAACTCCAGTGATTAAACAAAAACAAACTGCTAGAGCCAGATCTAGTCCCCTGGTGTGGTACTGTCAGGACAGAGCTGGCCACGCAATCACTGTGGCCACGCCAAGCTCAGCCACTGGATCCCCTTCTCCAGGCCTCACCTGGCATCTCGATCCCGGTGTTTATCTTTGGACTTCTTTTTCTTCTTAGATTTTTTGTGCTTCTTCGCCCTTGGCTCTTCTAAAGCGTCCTTCTCCAGATTTTTGTGGGCTTTTTTTTCTAGGCGGCTATCATTTTCCGTAGTTTCATACCTCCGTTTCCTTGACTTGACACTTTCATGTTCGTGAAAGCGATCAGGGAAGCTGTGGTTGCTGTCCTGCACAGCCAGCATGCCCTTCTCTTGGGGATGCCTCTCCATGGACAGAGCAAGGCCTGAAGCCTCTCGTGGGCTATGAAAGTGGGGCCGGTCCTTCCCCCGAGGTTGCGACTCCCAGCCCTTCCGGCCCCAGTAGCTGTCTTTGTGTGGTCGCCCAAGCTGAGCACTGCGTTCATGATCACGACTACGCAGAGGCCGCCACTCTCGGGCCGTGTATGGGTTGTACCTGTCGTGATAATACCTGCATTTGTCCCACCTCATCTTGTCTGGGTAGAATCTCTCCCTGACCCAGGCATGCTCATTTTCCGAATGGTGGTACCGGCTCCAGTCTTGCTCTGGGCCATTCCTAACCCGTGAGTGATGGTGGCTGTATCTGCTTAGGGAGCGGTGCTCAGGGCTGTCTCTGTCACCATGGCCCAGGTGTTGGCCCCCATTGCAGTATATATTAGCAGGGTGGCGCTCCTGCTTGGGCCGCTCTCGACTGTAGCAGCGTCGCTTCTTGTGGTGGTGGTCCTCCGTCCGGACCCTGCAGTCCCTTACATGCTCCCCGCTGGAGGAACGCTCTCTCCGGGCCCTGAAGTCCCTCACATGCTCCCCACTGGAGGAACGCTCTCTCCGGCTTCGATAATGTCCTCGATCCACTTTCCGGAGGCTGCTCACCTTTTCCTTGGCTGGGGAAGGCTCCTGAACTTTGGGTCCCACCTTGCTTCCATCACCTCTCTCCCCAGGAACCTGCTCAGCAGCCCCTTCACAAGAGCTGGTGGTCCAGTCAGGCTGAGGAGGGGGAATTGTGTCTGCAGAGACCCCCGAGCTTCTAGATGAATCTTCGGCCTCCTCGGACCCCTCTGTGCTGAGGTAAAGGAAGAGTTTCTGCTCACAGCCCTCACCTGTGAGTTCTGAGGGAGCCGGACTCAGTCTCTCCACCGCTTCAGCCAAAGTGGAGTCCTGCGGGTTCTCAGCTATTTCCCCTTTCACTGCTTGGGGTGGCTGGCTCGGGTTGTTCGTCAAGTCTTCAGGGTCACACAATTCGGGCAGTGGGGTATCCCCCAAGGTAGTACCGGTGGTGTTACAAGGAGCAGTGACGGAGGGCAGAACCTCCACAGGGTTAGCTGAGACAGCTGAGACAACAGAGGAGTCTTCTTTGGTACAGCTGATGGTGGGCTCCAGGGGTGACATGGTTGTAGGGGTCTTCATGCTCCCATTGCTAACTGCCTCTGGTGTCTCAAGAGAACCATTCTCATCAGTGATGGGCTCCAGCTGTGAAACAGGGTCCTTCGGGGGGCTTTCCTCTGTTGTAGTCCAACTACAGCCCCATCAAAACAAAGAAACAAAGTGATGGTTAGCCCGACTACCCACAGGACTGCCGGACAGTTCCACTCAACAGTCTGTACTTTAAGCATGTCTGATGAAACTCACTATCAAGTTTATCAATCCTGGAAACCAAGTTTTTCTTTTCCCTCATTAAGTAAAAAGTACAATTTCTATCAGGACTACCTCCTGTTTTCACAATCCCATAGCTGTAGACACTTCACACTTTCAGGTAAGTGCCTAACTCATCTCAAGAGCTCAGTGAAGCCAGGAATGGTGGCTACACATATTTGTAACCCCAGCATTTGGGAAAATGGACAAGAATTAGAAGCCAGCCTAATCTACATAATAAGTTCCAGGCCAGCCTGGACCACACAGTGAGGCCCTATCTAAAAGAGTCCAGGGGTTAAGGGCTGTGGCACAGTTGGTACTGTTCACCAGCACGCACACACCCCGGGTTCTGTTCTCAGCACTGCGTAGGACAGGTGTGGTAGTTCACACCTGACATCCCAGCAGTCAGGATGAGGCCATTTTCAGCTACACAGGGAGTTGGAGTCCCTGTCTCAAATCCAATGTTTCAGAACACCACTGAACCTGTAAGAGGGTGCAGGAGGGCGTGTCAGCTGAACCCATCAAGGGATCCTGACTCCCAGTTGCCCAGGCTGATATTTTACTCTTCTAAGAGGGAGGCTGACAAGATCCACAGATGAGCATGCCATTCTTTCCATTATCTGATGTGCTCACTCTCACTGGCACACTCACTGACACGACTCCTACCTCTCTTCACCCGATGGGCTCTTTGCCTGGCTGGTAAGCTTGAAGGCCTCGAGGACTTTGTCTTCAGGAGCAGACTGTAAAGGAGCGGGTGTCACCTGCAGTGAAACAAAGCTGCTTCAGATCCAGCGGCCAGCGCCATGCCTCATGAAATCCAGCTAAGCTATGAGACTGGAGACCTCCCTCCCTGCCACTCACCTTTCCAGGAAGACCATTAAGTTTGGAAAAGAGGTTTTCTGTGTGTATATTGGGCTGGACCTGACAGCTGGCACTGTCAAATGCTAGGCCGTTCTCTCTCAAGTCACTGCCTGCGCTATTAGCACCATTTAGCGTGACGGATTCTTGTAGCTCATGAGGGGAAGCCTCACCGTCCTCGTCTTTAGCTTCTGGTCTGGCACAGGGAGTGCTAGCCATCACGTCGACACCATTCTCCTTGGCCAGACCCTTCGACTCCTCATCGGACTCTTCTGAGGACTCAGCCCCATAGGGGACCAGCACACTGGAGCTCACCTTAGCCTTGCCGTTCACCATGGGCTTAGAACAGGGTTCACTGGGGGAAACTGCTTTTGCTACTTTATTGGAGACAGATGCCATGGATGCGTTCGAGGTAGACTGTATTGCAGAAGGGTTAGTGATGGTGCAAGAGGGTGTTGCCTTGCTAGGGGCCTCTAGCGAAGGGCCATGGAGGTTGTTATTCAGCTGTGCCTGACCCTGGCGAACAGGCAACTTGTTGTGAATACTGATGGTAATTTTTTGTTTCTTGGGGTGCTCTGGAACAACTGAGGGCCTGCTGACAGACCAGTTTTGCGCAGAAGTCGAGGCATTAACAGGACTGGCCCTATTGACACTGGTGTTTCCGTTAGGGCTTGACATGGAACTACTTGGCGTGTCTTTCACTGGTGTGGTGCCATTCAAGTGTGGTGTAGTCTACAAGGAGGAAGACAACAGTTGGGTCAGTGTTGTAGACACAGTACACTTGGTAACTGATCGGTTTCGCCTCTGCTGTTTATAAGCAAACTCCTTTCACACTGCCACACTCCCAAGATGACCCAGACATGAACAAAATGTCCCTGAGAATTTTACTTCCCTGAGTCCAACTTTAATTAAGAACCCAAATATCTAGTCTACAAGGAGTGTGGGAGTTCACAGTAAGAGGGGTCTTCTACACATGCCCTAAGCAGCCACTGGATTATCCCCCACCCTGAGGCGTTTTGTAATAAAGGGCTGCAGTGACCTCAGGCAGCAGATGAGGTAACTCTGGCAGTGAGGCCAGGTTTGGGATCGCTTTCCCGACTCAAAAGAGTTACCTTCATGACATGGGAAGGTAGCTGGGGTCCAATAAACCCTGGTGCTGCCTGCTTGTTGTTGACGACCCGCTGACTAATTCCTGGACGGGGAGAGGACTGGCCAGGACTATGGGTGGGATGAGCAGGTTCCCCTCCGTTTTTCACATCATGTGACCTGGGGACAAAGAATAAAATGGCTTGTATGAGAAAAGACCTCTCCTTAGAAGATATACTTACAATTCAACAGTACCTAGTTTGTCAGACAGGAATGGGAAATGGAACCTCCATGTCTCATGGACAGAGCTGCACATCACCACCCCATTAGGCTGTCAATGCTGGGCACTGACTCAATGAGCCCCCACCCCCAAGACATATTACATGGTTCTGGCTATCTTGGAACTGGATATGTAGACCAGGCTGGTCTCAAACGTAAGAGATCCACCTGCCTCTGCCTGTTAGAATTAAAGGTGTGCACCACCACACCCAGCACCAACTAAGTCAATGAAATGTTGGTTTCAGTTTGGGTTTCTTGTTATTGCTATTGTTTTGGAGAAATGGAAATGATCATTCTGTTGAGTATCTGGGGACAGTCTCAATTTTCAGCTACTTGGGATATTTGGTGGGACTGAGAATGTGGCTGATAGAAGGCCTGGCTTGCATGTTTGAGATCCTGGGTTCCACCCCAAGTACCTAATAGAGGAAACAACGTGGAGCCTATATCAGATTTCTTCAGAAACAGAACTGGTGCGCTACAAGCCTGCAGCTACAGTGACCGAGTGGGCGCGTGTGCTGGCAGTGCTTGACTGCTGTGCGGGCACTGACGGGGAGCACAAGGGCACATAGTCCCCTTTCCACGGCCTCCACAGTCCCCAGGCCACTCAGTTGCCTCCTCAGGGCTGCTATCCCTCTTCCTATACTTGTCAGTGAGCGAGAAGCTAACGGCAAACTCACCACATGGACTCAGAAAGACCTCAGGCTTAAACGCATGGCAATTCATCTTTAACTTGCTGTTTAAAAGACAGCTCAAAATTAAGGAAAGGAAGAGAAATTGACGAAAGGAAGAGAAATTGATCCAACAGCAAAGCTGACAACGTGTTTTCAAGTCAATACCTGATATAAAAGAGCACATAAGCTTGCTGGTTAAGCACCGATCTAATATCACTGGTGGACACGATGGAGTCATTCATCTGATACCAGAGGCCATTGCTAGCCTGTCAAAGAAACCACAAAGAGAGGCTGGATTTAGTCTGATGTCAAGGCCCACAGTCAAAAACCACCTAAGAGAAACAGACCATCACCCTTCACTGTAAAAGTTCCAGTGCTGACCCCATGAACCCAGTGCTATCCCACAGAAAACTTATTAGCCGCCCGACAGCATACCTTTATGTAGCAAAAGTAGTGGCCAGCATGACAGTTAAAACCAGTGTGCACCAGCACAGCATACAAAACATAAATAATTGGCTCTCCATTTGGCTGAGACATATAGGGCCGAATATCAAGGTACTCAGGATATTTTACATCCTAAAAATAAATGGAAAGAGTTAGGACTGTTATTTCTGAAGACACAGGTGGCCCATGTTTTCAGCTACAGGCGTACGCAGAAGGAGGGGGTTCAAGACCTATAAGCCTTGACCCCAGAAAGCCAATGCACAGAACAGAAGAGAGCAGAGGGCAATCCCACTGTTCTATGTGTCATAAATTAGGACCCACACTGTGACTCTCACAGTGACAGCCGCAGCCGTCACTCATGACTAAGCGACTCAAGCACGTGCTACAGCTCTTGCACGTTACTCTATCTTGGCCACTTTCACCATTAATTCGGAAGGAAAGGGAAAAATTCAATGTACAGTGATTGAAAAAAAAATCACAAATCATGTATATACCTTAGCGATTTTCCCACCAGTGAAGTTGGCAAAGCGCTTCAGTGAAATGGTGAGGACATTGGAGGACCTATGGATGGTGAATCTCTTTGAAGCTGGAACCATTTTTTTGCACCTTGAAACACACAGGAAGGAAGGGTTGGGATGTTTAGTGTAGATACTTAAGTGTTTTAGTTTTTATTTGTCTAAAATAACCTAAGTTAATATTTTAAAACAAAGAAACTAAATTAAAACAAGAACAGCAAACCAACTCTTTAAACCAGCAGTCAAAATAGTAAAATTAGAAATTCCAGGAGGGCTGGGGGTGTGGGCCAGTGGTTGAGCACTTGCCTAGTAAGGACAAGGCCCCAGGTTCAGTCCTCCATAACACCCACATACATAGAAAGCTTTGTAAGCTGACTGTTCAGGAAGATTAAAATTCAAAAGCCAGGCTGGATCACATAAAAGACCCTGCCTTTAAAAAAGAATTCAAATCGCTCAGTAACTGATAACATTAAACCGGGGTAGGATGCAGCTCCGTGGTAGGGCACTTGCCTAACCCATGTGAGACTCTGGACTTCACACCCAGTACCCCAAATGAAAAACAGAAAAAAAGAAAATCACCTAAAAAGCACTGAAAATGGAGTCAATTTCTAAATTAGAATAATCACAGGAAAGCAAAGCCCTCTCTCGAAAAGAGGGCGGGAACATGTCACCCAGTCATACTTGCTGCATTTGTAGGAGTTTTCTCCATCCAATTGTTCTGGCTTCACAAACTGCTCCAATGCCTTGGTAACACTCTGAGCAGCCTAGGAAACGGGCACAAACCTCATGTTACCATGCGCACTGCCAGGGGTTGAGATGGACAGACAAATGGACACACACATACCCCTATCCTTTGGCAGAAAAGCAACAGGAAATGTTTACATAACTTTTTGTTACTGTTTATCGTGTACCTACTTTTATGCAACTACACAAAAATTATGCCCTCATTTTAAAGACAAGCAGATTAAACAGAACAAAGTAGATTGCAGTTTGACTTACACTGGCCTAAAATAGAAACCATCAAGAACTAAAGGAATATCTACTTTCTAGACCCACCATGCAACTGTCCAGAGAACAAGGCTTCCAAGCAGAATCAAATGAAAACAGCAGACAGGTAAAGGGATAACCATAAACCATCTTCAGCAATCTAGGGCTTGAGAGATGGTTCGGAGGCTAAGAGTGTTTGCAGCACCCACAAAGGCCGCTCACATCTGTAACTCCAGCTCCAGTGAGTCCAGTGCCCTATTCTGGCCTCTGCAGGCACCCCACACACACACAACATACACTCACATAGATACACATACATTGAAGTTTCAAAATTTTTTTAAAAAAGCAAGCAATCTATTGTGGAGCAGCATAGATCACACCACTAAAGAATAAATTTTGAGCCAGGTGGTAGTGGCACAGGCCTTGAATCCCAGCACTTGGGAGGCAGAGGCAGGCGGATCTCTGGGAGTTCAAGGCCAGCCTGGTCTACAAGAGCTAGTTCCAGGACAGGATCCACAGCTACAGAGAAACCTTGTCTCAAAAAAAAAAAAAAAAAAAAAATCAAAAAATTCTGAGAGACAGGTTTTGCATTTCTATGCATATTTCTTTGTTTAGCAAGTACAGAACTACATTTGTAATCAGAAAAACTTAAGCTCCAAACAACAAAAACCAGGCGTGTGAAAAATTCAATGAGCTAAAGTTTCAAAGAGTAACAACCATCTATGTTTAACTGATATAACAATTATACAACAGTCCAAGGCTATGAAAGGACGTTTTTAACTTCACTACTGTTAACTGCTGAGCTCACCTTAATCTCCAATGTTATGTCCAGATATGGATCAAAGGTATCTGAAACACCCTTGCAATTTAAACATTTGACTGAAATAAAAGAAAATACGAACAGTAAGTTCTTGCCTTACAGGCTACTGATAGGACAGAATACATTTCCAAATAAAGAACTAAGAGTACTAAGTGAAAAGGCTGTAAGTAAATTCTCACACTGTGGGTAGAAGTGCCATAATCCTAGCCCCTGTGAGCCACTGGCTGAAATATGAACTGCTATAACGTCTAGATACTTTATGATTCAGAAATTAGAAGCCTTCACGCTACACAAGCGATGGCACACACGAAGGTATCTGATTATGAATGCTCTCAAAACAGACACTTATCCCTCAACAGGAAATGAGATGGAACTCTGACTGCACCCGTAAGCTTTCTAGCAGTAAGAGAAATATGAAGGGCTTATGCACAGTATGCCCCAGCTCATTTGTGCATAACAAGTACCAGAAGGATAATATTGAAGTCTGCTCAGACCTGCGATCTTCTTGTCATTATTACCCACCCCTACTGTTCGCATTTTAAAACCATAAGCATGTATGTTATGATGAACCTTCAAACAAAATTTACCTCGCGATCTTAGGTATCCTCCAAATATCTGGCAGACTAGGGTGGTAGCTTGGGTGTGTCTGTCCAATCTGAAAAACATCCAAATAGTGACATGAGAGGAGAGCTCGGAAAATACTGTGGCCAGATTTTAAAAGCATCTATGTTTATAAAGGAACAACTATTCGGAGGAGAATCACAAAAGATGATGTCAGAAATGTGTGGCAGCTGGAGACTATCCCACTGTGAGGACTTGGTGAAGGATGCAAGGACTTGCTATGATGGGACTCGAGGTAGAGAACTGAGAAGATGCTCTTTACAAACCTGTGCTTCTTTCTTTGCTGAGGCCTGGCACGGGGCGTTAAAGGCAGAGTACCTTCCTCTGCTCAACACTAACGGTCACCCAGACCAATCCTTAAGACTTGTGGCAATGAGAGCAAAGAGGAACATGTGCAGGTGTCTGGAACACCACAGGTGGGGTGGGCCCTTTCCTAGTCTTCCCGAGTCTGCATTGGAGTTTTAAGAAGCTACAGAATTGTTAACTGAAGGGGTGTGGAGGGCAGGTTTCTGAGTCTGGAGATGAACATGGAAAGCATTAGGCATGGATAAAAGGAAAAGCAGCTAAATTCAGACCTGGAAACTAAACAGCGGCAAGACTGCTACCCAGCATGGAAGATCAACAAATTTGGATGTTACAATAAGTCCATTTCCTGACATTTTAGTCTTTTTAAAATAGTGCAAATCAGGAAAAGGAACCTTCGAAGAGACAAGCTGGATGCGTGACGTCATGAACCGACTTCAACTCTGCTGTACTTACTTATTGCTGCCGTTTAAACACGCTTTCTGCATGGCATCAACTGTGTACTGAAGAAACTCATGGGCATCTTCTTGGTTTCCAAAACGGAAGTGTCTAGCTATACCTGTAAGATTTGAAGAAAGACAGGCCTTATTATTACATACCCTGTGCCATGGTGACATCCCTAAAAGCTACACCTTCAACTATGTACCTGGAAAAATCCCTGAATGACCTTATTTTTGAGGCTGAGTCTTAAGGATCTCAGGCAGGCGTCAAACTCTCCACTAACTGAAGATGAACTCCTGATGCCCCTGACTTTAGTTCCCAAGGGTTGGGATCACAAGTGTGCATCACCACACCCAGAGCATCTCTTATTTTCAACAACTTTTTAGGCAAAAAGATTATAGCTTGTCACTGTATAACCATATACCTCTCTAATTACCCTGAATGAGTTCTATATTAATTGTTATTACAAAATTGGCTAATTAAAATGATAAAAAGATATAGTACAAAAAGCACATTGATACGCTGGGCATGATGGTACATGCCTGCCTAAGATTTAGTACTTGAGATGTGGAAATCAGGAGTTCAGAGCCATCCTTGGCTACACAGAAAGTTCAAGACCAGGCTTGGACACAGGAAACCCTATCTCAAAAAACATAAAGTGTGTAAGGAAACTGTATACAAGCCCTGAATGGTGTTGTACATCTGCAATCTCAGCACCTGGGAGGATGATGCAGGCAGAGTGCCATGAGTTTGGGGTCAGCATGGACTACAGAATGAGCCTCTATCTCAAAATACAAAAAGGAGAAGATATGGACGACAACAAATATCTAGACATGGAATACTGACAGGAGCTACTGCAGTTGAAACTTACGTCGCATTTCATTGATGACAAACATCGGCTTGATAACGTCCCCAGGGTTGCTGAGTGCCTGGGTAATGTGTGTTTGCATTATGCACATCATACAAAATCCTTCTGCGTGGCCTGCAAGATAATGAGAATCCAAATGAGCAAAATGTGACAATATACAACAGGAAGGTAGATCAGAAATGAGGGCAGATGCCCAGAATGCAGGAACAGTGCCAGTTACCATATGCATGCACGGAGCTGCTGCTATCATTAGTTTTCATTTAATTACTCTGGGAAGGCTGGGTAAAAAGTATATACTGATGACTTTAAGGACCAGAGAAGAAATGTGCCCAAAGTCAGGTATTTATTAAACAGTAGAACTGCAAGATGAAAGTACTGGATTTTCCGTGGAAGAGGCTGCTCTGAGCACACACAGTGTCAACAACTACAGCAGCAGCAGACTTGTGCAGCACAGGGGCAGGCACTTGCTGAGCATGAATGAGACCCCGAGTTCAATCCCCAGCACTGAAAGGGGAAAAAAAAACTTCACATTACAAACAAACATTAATTAAAACGAATCACTGACTCCAAAGAAAAATAGAAAATGTCTAGAAGAAAACAGAGTAAAATATCTCTGACCTCAGACATTTTATTTATTGCATGTGCACGTGTTTGGACACACATGCCAGTGTGGAGGGCATAAGACAACTGTGGGAGTCGGTTCTTCCCTCCACAGCAGCCCCAGGCACTGAACTCAGGCTGTCAGGCCTCGTGGCAAACAACCTGATTCTCCGAGTCATCTCGCCAGTTCAAAATTTCTTAAAGAAGATTTCAGATAACTGATAAAAAATAAAAAGTAATGAACTACAAATATTAAACTTTCCAAAAGACACCAAGATGAAAGACACCTATTGGAGAAAACACAAGTCTCAGTCTCATAGTTCCAAAATATATAAAACCTTCAAAGTTCAACAACAGGAAAACTAGCTAGTTCACAGCGAGGCAAGATTTAAAGGGGCAGGGGAGCTGAAGATGTCAGCGCAATTGGCGACTGCTGAGGCCTTGTGTTCTATCTTCAGCACTCTACAAACAGGACATGGTGATGCACACCTGTAATCGCAGCTCTCAGGAAGTAGAGGCAGGAGGATCATCTTCCACTACACAGTCTACGTGAACCTGCCTGGGCTAGGAGATCCTGTCTCAAGGGAAAAAAATAAAAAACATAAAAGATTTTTCCCATCATTACTAATTAGGGAAGTGCAAATAAAAGTCACAACAATCAGAAGACACTACTAAATATTCCTGAGAATGGTCACATGGTGAAGACTGGGGCTGAGGATACAGCTGAGTGATAGAACATTTGCCTAACAAAAATGAGACCCTGGGTTCAAGCCACAGTACCAAAAATTTCAATAAATAAATAAATAATCAAAATCAAAACCGTGCTCACACTCTGTGTTTGAAAATGCATGGTGCAAATAGAACCTTCATCCCTGTTGGTCAGGGCTTAAATATCACAATCCCTTTGGAGACAGTTCTGAAGTGTTTAAAAGTTATGTGTCCAGCACAGGATGAGGTCATTTCATTCTCACCCAAGAGAAATAGCATACTTCTTTTATAAAGACAGACATTTCTACCAGCTTCAATTTTTTTTTATTTTTTATTTTTTATTTATTTATTTATTTTTTGATTATTTATTGGAGACAAGGTCCCAGGTAGGCCAGAATGGCCTGGAACTCTGATTTTGGACTTTTTGTTTGTTTGGTTTTCAGGTTGAAGATTAAACCAAGGGCCTGGTGCATGCTAAGTGAGCATACTATCAGTGAGCTAAATGCCATGCCCATGGTCATGGAACCACACATCTATTTCATGTTCACTGCAGAGGAAGACAGTAGTGGGGAAGCAAAGCACTGAACACATGCACATGACACTCACATGTCTTGGAGTGCTCATGGGATAACATGTAATTGGCGAGGGGTGGTGTGTAGGTCAGACACTGCAATGCAGCATTGGCGAAACAGGTATTGCCCAAATTCTGGAGTCCAGCGCCAACTCGATGAGATTGTTGCCACTTAAGACAAATCTTTTCAGATGGAAACAGAACCTTTTGAGGAGGAGCAATACCATCACCTAGGACTTAAAGAAAACAGAGCAAAAAAATTAAAAACAAAGCATTTCACACTTTATAAGCAAAACTCACAGCAATGCCTGAGTCTGGTCAAGATCCTACACCTCATTACCAGCCTGCCACAAACACTGAGGAAAAAGACACACTCAAGTCCAGAGTCTAGGGTGAGAATAACTCCACTCTCATCTGATTTTTTTTAACAAATCATTTTCAAAGAAAAGGGATGGATTCAAAGAAAAGATCTTATGAGATATAAATCCACTTACTGTGTAGTATTCACTTAAACTAATTAAAAAATACAAACTGGATTTATTTGTATGTACAAGCACTGGTACCCCTGAAGGCCAGAAGAGGATTGATATAAGACCGCCCCCCACCCCCGCCAAACTTGAAGTCACAAGTAACGACTCACTTGATGGGGGTGCTAAGGAGTGAACCTGGGACCTCTGCAAGAAGTGCCAGCACACTGAACTGCTGAACTATCTCTCCAGGCCCAGACATTATTTTTATGAAAAAATTCTCTAAGATGTACTTACTAAAATGCTTATAGACAAATATTAGACTTGTCTAAAATACCAGGGAAAGACAAGAGGGTGTTTGTGCCTACTTACTATGTACAGCACCCTAGACACATGTGCTTATATACACATACACACAGAGGAAAGGGTCAGCGGGTAGCCATGTCCATTAGAATTCTACCTTTATATTTTCTCATACCTTTTCATAATAAGGGTGTGGGAAAATAGCTCAGTTAACAGAATGCGTTCCTAAAAGGCACAAAAAGTCCTGCGTTTGATCCCCAGCACTGCCTCTCATCCCAGCACTCAGGCAGCAGAGACGAGGCTCAGGAGGACAAAAAAAATCAGTCCAGTTTTGGCTACATAATGAGTTTGAGGACAAGATAAAGTTTATCCTTCAATAAATTGGGAATTTACAAAAACCACTCACATCCCGATAACTAAAGTCAGTCTGCCCTCCTATCTGTGACCCAGGCTAACAGTAGCAGGTGGGTGGGTGGAGAACGATTGCTCACTAGAGGGAAATCAAACAGCGCTAGTCTTGAAAATCACTGCCTTCCTCAAACATTTGCACAGGAGTTCCTGATAGTAATTCTGCAATCATACCTTGATCCTTTGGGGGTGATGGTTTTGATTTATCAGGTACAGATGAATTGGAATAAACTACAGCACCAGGCACTGGCCCTAAAGAAAGTGTATGATTTGAAACATCACTTATTGAAGACACGGCACCCCAGCTGGCAGAGCCTGTGTCCATGTCTTCAGGTGAGACCGCCTCAGAACTGCCAGGCTGGTTCTGACAGGTTGATGGGTCTGAAGGTTCAGTTTTGTCAACTATGGTCATTTTTCAACCCTGCAAAAGACAAAAAGTATGTTTCAATGGGTGAGGAAAGCAGTCTACATAAGTAGCCACTGTATCTTGGAAATTTTTGACTAGCCATTTAAAACTCTTTAAACAAATCACCCAAATATAAAACATTAGTGGGGGTAGGAATGTTGCCTAGAATCCAGGAAGCCCGGGTTTTAGCTCCCATATCTCATAAACTGGACCGGCAAAGTGGTGCAAGCCTGTGATCCCAGCGTTGGAGAAGTGGTGGCAGGAAGAGTTCAATACAAGACCGTCTCAAAAGCAGCAGCAGCAGCAACAACAAAAAAACCATAGTCTATACCAAATCCCCCAAATCATCTTTCAGTTTATAATTAGGCATTTCAATTCACAATTATATATATTTAAATAAGAACCTTTTTTAATCTCTACTATTTAAAAGCTGGGAACATTCTACACTTTAAATTTTTTTATTTGACTACATTTTCAATTTATATACCATTTTTCAGGGGAAATCTCAATTACATAAAGAGAATATTTAGCTTTGATTTTTAACTCAAAGTCTAAAATACCATTGTATAAAATTTGAAATTTTGAAAAATTATAGCTACAGAAAAGTCTTACCAGTGAAATGCATTTTTCTGAAGAAGTCTGTGTATATGGATTATAACTTTTAAAATTAAACCTGTAATTTTACTAGCATCAAACTTTTAACACGAATGTGTTTATTTAATTCTCTCTGGGTCTTATTTTCAAATATACTAATTAACCTTTTTTTCTATGTACTGTGCATCATTAATTGCTGAATACATACTAACTTGCTAAATTTTCATGATGAACCTTTGATCAGTCAAAACCTGCAAGATTTACAATGAAGTAATAACTCAAACTAGTCAGTGACCGGGACTAGAGAGCCAGGGCCAAGAAACCCAGCTGGGCTGCTGTCTGGCCGCTGCACCACCCGACCAAAAAGCACTTTTAGGAATGGTACAGGTACCGGGCGGTGGTGGCGCACACCTTTAATCCCAGCACTTGGGAGGCAGAGGCAGGCAGATCTCTGTGAGTTTGAGGCCAGCCTGGTCTACAAGAGCTAGTTCCAGGATAGGCTCCAAAGCTAGAGAAACCTTGTCTCGAAAAACCAAAATAAAAGGAATGGTACAGGCAGCCACACCCGGAAGAAGACCTCCCTGCAGTGCTCTTCTTCCCAGTGTCTGGACTTGGCACACTTTGGTCTCTGGAACGCTCCCACCATAGGGTCGTCCATTTTAGTCCCTGCTCTACTTGAGCTCTTGCAAGCTATTATTTCTCATCTTTCTACATCTGGCCAGTAAACTTTCAATTCCCAGGTGTAGAATTCACTCCTTTGGCATGTTTTCCGTTACAATTCCTTTCACCCCAAGACTGGATTAGAAACCCATCCTAAAGGGTTTCCTTGACAACACTTTTCACCCCAAGATTGGGTCAGAAACCCATGGTAAAGAAAGACTCCTTGTTCAGTAAAAACTTACTCCACCCTACCTGGCATGGGGAAAGCTTTCCAAACGTGTTAACAAATGAATGAAATCATGCAAACAGGAAGTAACTAGTGTTTGCTTTTAGCACCAGTTTGTGCTGAGTGATTTATATAAGGTATGTCATTTAATCCTTTAAAAACTCTGAATTAAGGAAGTACTCTAAACTCTGGCCTTTAAACATTCATTACTGTGAAGAACAGAAGGCAATGAAATGCTCGTGGACTTGCCACCTCAGTGACAGTGTCACCATGTGCTTCTACTCACAACAACTTCAACCTTCTTGTTTACAATTTTAATTAAAGTACAACGTGGGGACAGTTACATAAAAATAGAAAGTCAATTATATGATTCGAATATTTAATCAAGTAAAGATAAATGACCTTCATTTACAAGAAAGACTGAGCCTATTAGCCAAACAAAGCTTAAACTTTTCTCAGCCTACAGGCAAAACAGAAATAAAAAATGTAGTGATGAAAGGAAGGAAAAAAGGAACAGGAGGGAGAGTTAAATGAAAAAAGTCAAAATTGGGTAATAAGGAAAGACTAATCTACCCTTAGTAAATTAACATTAATAACAGTAAAAGTCCTTGATTTTCCTGGGATAAGCAACCTTTCCAGACAATGATTAACAATTAAATAAAACATTATTCTAGGCAAAGTGGGGCAGTAGGCTTAACAGAAAAACACAATTCTAGTCATCAATAAGTATGTTATTGTTTGATTCTGGCAAGACTAACCAACCCATTCATCATCTTCATTTTGATATTCAGCCAATGAAATCACCCTAAAATTATCCAGTATCAAACTAAACTCCGCCTCTTATAGAGATAACCTTACTTAAAACCCAATTATACTGTGTAAGACAGGATTCATGTGGCTTCTGTTCTTTATTTTAACTAAAGCTTCTGAAAGTTAGTGTTCGAAATAGGACTGTGAAAGTAACTTCAGTGAAAGTTAAGCCTTTCTCCTGACACCTCACGATATACAAAGTTACCAGAGACCATTTAAAAAGATTCCATCTAGCAACCAGAGCAGGGACCAGAGTTCCATGGATAAATATGCAGCACTAAGAACCTTTACTTGGTTATGCCTCTTTGATGGAGAGTAAACGCTAGGCTATGTTTACCTTTTTCAGTATAAAAAAAGGAGTAACACTAAACACTGTGTCACTCCACACACACTGAAGGAATAAGGTCGACACTTATACACAAAAAACTTACACACGACTTCTTCATAAGCAATATAATACAAGTTCTTGTAACATTTTCGTCTTAAGAAACTTTAAAAAGATATCACTTGAATTTTAATTATATTTAGGTAAACGGAATGATTAGCCTTAAACCTTTGCAAATCAAACTCTTACTGTAGTCTTGATTCAATTACAGAAAAGAAAGTGAAAGTGTCCCTAAGTAAAAACAAGTGTAACTGATTATTCAGAGACCTATGCACCTGAATGAGTGGCATGGTAAAAGCAAATGTTTAAAATTCACAGTTTGCAAAAATGTTATCCTCCATAAACAGCTATGAGAACCTGAATCAGGTAGTTACTTTAAAAGGGGCGTTAACTAGTTTCTCAACACTTTTTGTTACTTGAGTGAATTTACTCGAAAGAACCAAACAAGCAAGCCCTAAGGCCTTCAAATATAAAAGAGCTATTCAACAAAAGTAATCTCAACTGTATTCATTCTAGGGAGGTTAAAGTCCTAGACTGTAAAACTTTGGTCCCGTCAAATTTTCATTTTAAACATTTGAACCCGATCTCTCCCATCCGCCTTTTTCCCCCCAGGTAAGTTGGTTCTTCCTGCCCCAAAGATAAAGAACGTAAGGGAGGAAGGCACACTTGCTTTATTTCGGAGGGGAATGAACTACGGGGCTCCTCCCCCCAACATCCCCGGCCGCCCGCCTCTCCTTCGGGTGCCCGCTCCGGCGTGGGCAACTCGGGCGTTCTGCGGAGAAGCCGAGTGACCCGCGCCGGGTGGGAAAGTTTGTCTGGG